GCAGGGCCTGTACGACACGTTGGCTGACCAAATGTCCGAAAGTACCGTTCGACCTGAGAGCTTGGACAAGTTCCTTGACCAAAATGGTGGGGTGATGATCAGTGCCCTCTAGACCATGCAACTTGATCCCCAATGGACGACATTACAGCGCTTTTATGCATGTGTATACCATATGCTGTACGCTGTAGAGATTGCTACCTAGTGGCTTCCAATAGACATTCTTCTCATTCACAGCGAGACGCCATTCAGCAGAACTACGTCATGTGCACCAAGATAGATGTGGCCATGAACAGTTTGTTGCAGCGCAGCAAGTGCCTTCGTTTGAATCCATAGAGGATGATGTGTGCACATACAGCTATAGTTTTATGTGTTCTTTTGACTTTGCGCACCTCGTGTGGATCAGTGGCTGAATGGGAGATAATGGGAGATTGCATCGCACTGAGGGGGATGAAGTCATCTTCAGCATCAACTGCCCCTTCCGGGACAAACAGGACAACTGAGCGAGGGTCCAAGGGAAAACCGAAACCGAAGAAATCTCCGAAGGCTCCGAAGGCTCCGAAGGCTCCGAAAGGCAAGGCTGCTCCTAAAGGAAAGGCCAAGCAAGAAGCCACTCAGGAGCCTTGATCTTTTTGCTTTTCTTTGCCCAATGTGCGAACTCCGCACGGTGGGTCATCTTGTGACGTTGGCAATGATGCCACATCGTTTGTGAACCAATTGCGCCGATCTATAGCTTTTGTTCTGGAAGCTGTTGGTAAGCTCAATCCTTTTCACAGTGGGGAGCATCAAGTTTGCCGCGTGTGGGGACACAGTTGTTGCTACAAAGGCAGCAACAAATAATTTGATGGACCAGGGTTGGTACGTTTCGAAGAACACTCTTGGGAAAAATATCGCTAGCCGAGATTAACCTACAGGTGTGCATGCTTATATAATCTGATGGACCAGGGTTGGCAGTTGGCACGTTTCAAAGAACACTCTTTCGAAAAATATGGCTAGCCGAGATCAATATGCGCCGGCGTGCATGCGCCTTTGTGCCAGGTCATCGCGATGATGACTACCACCGTGGACCCTTAGCTTGGCTTATGTCGACATAGCGCACGTCTCTTCAAACTTTCAAGTTGTACAGCGATCTTTGCACTACTCAGGAATGGATGACGAACCCTCGAGCTCAGAAGCTGGAGACCTTTGCACTGGACTTGTTAACAGCTTCGGCAGGGGGGTTTCATGTCAGCATTTAACACGGGCATTGAGAGTTTTTGTGCAGAACACGCATGATCTACTAGCTGATCTATTTCATGAGTTGTTCAGTTCAGGCTTCTGCCCAAGACACCCTGGAACAGATCAACCGGACCCAAAAGCTTTTGGAGAAACATGGACACTTGAATGCAATTATGCAATTTGACATCCATGACATCCACCTAGCAACCTAGCACACAATCAAGTGGCTTCTAAGGAGTCTTCGACCAGAAAATCGTGGATATGGCAAGGCTCTACCGAAAGGATTCCAAAAGAAAGAATTTGAGTCGAAGTATGCATACTTACATCCATCGAGAAGGGCACACACTTCCAGTACCAATCTCCACAGTCATGACCCCCATCCGTTTTCGCGCTTCCAGACGCTACTCCGTTGTTGATCGACCCTGGCCGGTTCTACTTTGGAGTGACTGGGTAAGGCTCTGCATGGAGAAGTATGGAGGTGTCTTCATGCTAGGTGGTAAAACCTTAGATCACCTGGGAGAGATTGAGAACATGCTCGCAGAGTTTTGGCGTCGCTACAAGTATGTTGATGATGCATACGTCCCTTCAACACCAGAAAGGACTATTCCATGCTATGTACATGGTGATGAAGGACGTGGCCAAAAACAAAGACCAACCATGGTGCTGTCCTTCCAGCCAGTTCTCAGCCTTGCAGGGCCAAACAAGGTGAACTCCACTGGGTATCTTGGTACCATCTCAACCCCAATACTAGCTTACATGTGTGGGAAAGGGGTTAAGTTATGGTGCAAGTTTGTTGGTGTGTATCTCTGAGGCACACCTACACCACACGGTGCCTCTTTACCCTTTTGCCTGCAGAGCACTATGCCCCCAAACACAGAAGTCTTCACACGCTCATTGCTGAGATGGTTCGTGATGCCAATCAACTCGAAACTGAAGGTTTGGTGGTTCCTGGGTTTTGTTCAGCCAAAGCTTTGATTTACTAACATGCTTTCCAGCCTAGTAGGTCGGGGAAACTGATAGATGGATCAAGTGACTTGTCGTGACCGTCTTGTGAGGTGACGTGGAATGACCACCAAATCCAGCTCTACGTCAGAGTGATTGGAGTGAAAGGAGATTGGCCCTTTCTGAGGGCATGTTTTGGTCTTCGGACGGGGTATAGTTCGCTGCGGGTGTGCCACATCTGCACAGCAGATGAACCAAGATGTCATTAGATTAAATGTTTTTGTTTGATCTTGTTTTGCGTGGTTATGGTATTATGGATCTTATGTGCAGGTTGAGGGAGATTTGGCCGGGAGAAATAAGGACTGGCATGATCTGTCTGCCAACGGCTCTACCAGGAACTGGGATCCCAACTCAGTTGCACCATCACCATTCTGGCCAAATCAAAGGGCTCCCATCCGTGACCTTGCACGGGGCGCTGCAGAAAAATTCATCAAGATTGACTTGGCTCACACGTGGGCTATTGCCGGATGTGGCAAGGACTACCTTGCTTCGGTGTTGATTTTGCTATCGGTACACTGCCGCGTGTGGGGAGCTGGAAGATGGGAACAACAACTTGAGTGGGCCTTTGATTCCTTTTTTACCTGGTGCATTGAAAACAAGAAGACTAGCACAATCCTGGAATTTAGCAAGACAGAGCTAAAGCTTACCTCGTTACTTGCAAGCATGTTGAGGGTGCTCATGACATGTATAGGGTTTCCAAGAAAATGGTCCCACGACTGATTCCTCTAAGGTTGCCAGATTTCCCACGTGGTCTTGGCAAAGGGTCTGATGCAGCGCTTGTAGGGGCTTGGCTTGACACTGTCATGCGGCCATTGGATGCATCCACTCTACCAGACTCTCAGTGTTGATTCTAGAAAAGCTAGATCATGCAGTGTCCATATTCATCAAATCTGTCTCCGCCACAGTGGACCACCCTAGGAACAATGCCGGAGAATGTTCAAGGTTGCCAAATGGGGTGTACAACATGCCAACATCTTCTTCAGGATCCTCTACAAGGGGCCTCTATGGTTGCCACCTGCGCATGCTTCTCAAGCAATTGAGAGTGGGTTCAACTTGATGGACCCTACTGCGCAAGTAGATGAATTGTAGAAGCAACACTAGCTAAGACTTTCCTATCATCCAGCTCCCAGATCTGTTTAACTTAGGAAGCCTATGGAGCTTTGGCCAGACTTGCCAAAGACAACTTGTGGTCGTTGTTTTATCTCCGTCCTAAGTGTCACATGCTGCAGCATGTAGTGCAACTTTGATGCACATGTGTTGGAATTTTGTGCGAGTGCAGTATGATGCTTCAGCAGGTGTTGCTATGCTGAGGCTGGAGATGCAGTATCAGTTGAATACCGGTTCTCCTTACATTTACAACCCAGCTGGTTCAACCCCTAGATTGGATTGCATGCAGTATTTTAGAAATATGTTTGTGTCTTGGCTTCTGCCTAAGGCCAGGCATGCTGGGGAGATGAGGATTTCATTGGTCAGGTGTCCAGAGCTTCCCGAAAGCATAATCACCCTTTCAACATTTCGTACACAACCATGCGAAAAGTGTTGATAGAGTATCGCCACAAGTGGCATGAAGCTTTGCGGCTGCAAAATGGCAGCTGAGTTCCCAAGCGAGAAACCTGCTGAAGCTCGATCTCCAACTCGAAGTCAAAAGCCACGATGAAGTGTGTGTGTGTGTGTATGTGGACGAGGGAGCATGTGTTTGGGAAGGGAGGGTTCCATATGGTTCCATAAATCTACTCGAGCGTTTCTTATGAACATCGAGCGTTCTTAATTTTCAACGCGCAGAAATCAAGCAATTCGAGCAGAAACATACTCGAGCAGAAATTAATGTATCGAATGAGGTTATAGGTATATATATAAGCCTGGCAGTTGTGGAAACCCAAACGCAAGATGTGGCACAGATGAAACATGTAGGATTTCAAGGGGTTCTGGTTGTTTTGTGCAATCTGATGCCATTACAGGTCAAGAGGTACAACCGTTTGCGGGTGGACAGTGTAATGGCCCGTTGACAGATCCATGTATACAGAAAATATGGACCCCTGAAACAGAAACCACCCCAATGTAGTTAATTATGCATTTGGGAAGCGGTAGCACATAAGAGTGTGTCTTGTCCGTACATGGATTCTCTGACACTGCAATGACACAAGCGCCCAGCTGACACCCATTGATGTGTGTTTGGGTGCGTCCAGGGTTCTCAAGGTGTCCTTGCTAATTATTCAATCACATACCATGACTATGCAAAGAACCACGCGTCCAAGAAGAGTTGCCTTTCCTTGCTGATTAGCAGCAGTCCTGTTACTTTGAATTTGGGGTATGTTCCGTTCTTTCGATACTTCCATCAGCTGACTGTTTCATGCATATTATATACGTGCAGGGATCTTCAAACGGCACTATATAGTTTTTCAGTGAAAAGACGCTGTAATCAAAAGCACATACCGTTCAAGGGGTTGCAGACACATGTGCTCAACATCCATGGGCGGGGCAAGACGCCGTTTGGACGCCTAAAGACGCGATTTGGAAGCCTTAAAAATGCCGTTTCCTTTTGGTTTCTGCCGTTTCCGCTGGTCACAACAAAAATGCAATCTTTGGAAAAAGACGCCGTAAAGACATTTTTCGTATATTGAGAAAGAGGGAGGGAGTGAGGGACAGAGAGAGAGAGAGAGAAAGTAGCTGAAGGATGCCGAAGATATCTTGCATTGGGTCGCCATTTCGCCTTCGTTGGTGCTTCGACCCACATGGGAGGCCTTCGGGGCCTCTCGGTCGAGTCGAGTCGACGAACGGATCAGGCCAGATTCCCCAAGGACGTGGAGAGCGGCAAGGTGCAAGATGGCCGTAAAGGGGGGCGAGTGATGCAACTTTGAACGGTCGCTGCTAGTTCGAACTAGAATGTAACATGCGGGTGGGTTTATAGTGAGTGAGTCTGTGTGGTGCGGTACTACGGTGGGGTCGGAGGTTTTCATGTTGGGATGTGTCATTTTATGGCTGTGTTCCTTAATTATTCAAATACTATAGTATAATAGCAGCTGTGACTTTACTAATGTGGTAGTGGTGGAGATCTCAAGTCTGGAGGCTCCGGATCTCAAGTCTAGAGGCTCCGGAAGGAAGGCCTTTCAAGATTGTTCAACTTGGGACACCAATCATTTGCAGATTCTCCCACGTCCTACCTGAATGATAGACGGAACGTGGCTAGCCTCACCCAGTTACCCCACAACCAACCCCCAACTATCCAGACATGTTTATGGCGTGAACGGTGTTCTGTACCCCTGTGTTTTTGAACATTGGCGTTTTTGGAGCTTCTACTGGTGTATGTTGTTTTATGTGACCACACCATGACTCGTGACATTCTGTTCAGTGGCTGAGGGTCAGGGGTTGAGTGGGGGGGTCCTTGGGGGGGAATGGCGGTCGGTTATTCATCATCACCGTCAACGTTCGATCTTCATTTCATGAGCTGCATCTTCATTTTCATACATCAAGGTTCCATGCGGACCTGAAAAAAACAAAGAAGAAAAAAACACACACGCACATAACACGGCGTTCTCACCATGTTTACTCCATCCCCTTTGGGGGAGCAGTGCGTGTTCATGATGACTTCCAATCATCCATGGCTGGCCACTTCGCCCACCGTGTCGGCCATCGGTGGTGGCTGCTGAGGCCATCGGCTTATGGGCCCTGCGGTATGGCCAGGCTGCTGAGGCCCGAACTTCGGAAAAAAGGACATTATGGTAGGGGTGTTGGCCGTGAAGTTTTTCGTGGAGATCATAGATGAATGGTGCTCAAATTCATTATTGTTACGTATTGTGTGTTTTAACATTATATTATGTTATATTGTATGTGAATTGTGGTTAATATCTCAACTAATTATGCTAAACTCGATGAGTTATATGTGACATTCATGACGATTGATGGAGGTTTGGATTTTGCTTTGGATGGACACTAGTGAACCAGCTCGCTTTCTCTCGAGCCTTGCCTCGAAAAGAACAAGTACCTCACCCTCATCTTTTGGAGGATTTTCCAATGTCAGCTACCTGGAATTAGGGTGATCATCTTTCCCGGATTGGATGAATGCCCTTCTCAGGAATACTTTGTTTTCCCCGCTGCTGGACAGCAAATCCAAGGCTAGGCAGAAAGTCCGATTTTTGAAGGTCGCTTAAACAATTTGTGTCCTTCCAGCGTCGGAAGCTGAGGGTGGAGCCGAAAGAGGTTCTTCTTGCGAGCGGTTGTTGCGCAGCATCGATAGGTTTTTGTTCTACTGGGTGTTGAAGAACATCGATGGGTTTTGACCCCGACCCATGAGACTGGCATATGTACAGTACCTACACCTACATTGACCCCTGAAACGTCCTGTCACCACCCCGATGAGTGTTTACTTTTCGACCGCCCACGTTCCACCGAGTGACGCTCCGCTCCGCCGAGTGCCCACCCACCGTGGGGTGGAATCAAAGAAGAATCGATGGCGCGGTATATGAATTCCTTTCTACCCTTCTTGTGTATACTCTCCACGTTTCTCCGCCCTGTTTCTCCCTGTGGTCCAAGCGCTCGTGGTCCACGCTGCGTGGCAGGCGTTGGGCCCGGTGCCCCGAGCACCGGAACGCTCGGCCGTGGAGCAAGATGCGCTCACGCTGCAACAGCTGAGGAGGGGAAGACTAGACCAGACAAGGGCGGGGCATGGCGTTTTCGGGGTTGGGGAGTCATGGATTGGAGTGTGTCTTGGGGAGAAGGTGTGTTTTTAATGGTTTTCTTGATGGATGGTATTTCAACCCTGGCATGAATTGTAAAACCTCTGAAAGGCCTAGGGAGTTGAACAATTTAGAGTCAAGACAGCGGGAGACATGCTGGGACAGTGCGCGTGGTACGAGTCTTCTTGCACCCTCTAAGATCAGTGTTTCCTGTGGAGTGTCAGCACCCGTGATTTGGTTTTGGAGGGTCTTGGAAAGGTTTTCGCTAACTGAACTGGAGGGCTTAGGAGGTGTTCGCTTTGTGAGAGAACATGGTTTGGTTTGGTTTTCATGGTAGGGAACTAGCGACCTGAAGAAGAACCGGCGTTCTGTTCTTCCTTGCGAAATTCTTGTGGTCTCCCATTTGGAACGCCAGAAACATTTGGAAGCACTGAACAATATATGGAACCAATGTTTGCTTGTCTCAATCCATCAAAAAGACATTCAAGAATAGTTATAATATAGGACCAAAATTGTTGCTTGTCTCAATCCATTGAAATCTATTTGTTTTCCTACCCACCCCTTGCCATCCACCCTCGTATGCACCCGATTGTCTAAAGATATGGCAGAAGCCTAACGCAGGAGTGTGACCAGAAGCCTATTGACTCGTCAAGAGGTAGTTCCAAGAAATTCCCAGTCTATTCATTTGGGACCACTATAACTGCAACATGCTGTAGAGATGGGTCGTGACTGGAACTGCAACAGGTCGTGAGTGACCCCACTTGGCTTTGATGGGGGGACTGCCGGATGGCGTTTACTAGATGGTGGGACTCGTTTCTTCATGGGTGCCAAACTGCTCTTGTTTCGTGTTGACCGTCATCCAAACGAAGCTTAATGTGTCCACAATGCTCCTGACTGTTCAAGCTCTGAGCAGAAACACCGACGGTGCGCTCTTGGCCCTGCAGACGGACCGTGCCAGGGAGGCGCAGTCGCATGTGGCGACGAAGCTCTTGGGGACTCCGCCAGTCCAGACGCCACTGGCCGCAGGGGAGACGGCGGCTGGGGGGGGGTGCAAGGTGTTGACATGTCAGGGGCAGATTGGACGTGGTGGGTGCTTCCCAAAATGGGTTACAGCCTGAAGGAAGGGCCGACGTCAAAAGCGGGTCCACGGAGCAAGCAGGTCGAACGAGTGGATCGGTCCTGAGCACTAACGATATTTAAAGTTCGGTCCTGAGCTCCCACTTACACTCCCTGGAACTGACATGGTTACGTATAAAACCACCTGTTTCTAGTGGATTTCATGGTCTTCCAACAGGCCATTCTCCACTTCTATTTTAGTTCCAGGGAGTGTATATAATTGGTATATAATCTTTCCTTCAAACAGATTGGGATTGGATTTTCACTGGGAGTACAGGCATCTTCCTGGCAAACTCATGTGCACTTTCCAGTCCATGTCCGACCTATGACTCTGCACGACGCAGGTAAGAGGGCCATTCCCAGGCACGACCTATTTGGGACTGGCATATGTACATTCACCACACCCATTTCAACCACACCCAGGTCCTGTCAATTCTGGCAGTCCCAGGTCCAGGTCGTGTGGGATGTTCCTCTGGCAGTCCCAGGGCCTCGAGAGAGGACGGAGGTTCCTCCGTCCGATGCTCAGGCCAAAGGGCATCACTGGCTATGCACCGCCGTCAGGTCCTTCAAGGCAGGATGGGAAGGAAGGAGGCAGCCCAGGCAGTAGATTGCGGGATAGTTTGGGATAAGGTCAAGGATGTTCCAGGTTCTTTGGACTGGAGGGGCTAGGCAGGCTAGGCTTCCGAATCAGAATGCCGAAGATCCCAAATTCTGGAGTTCTGAACTGCGACGGTCGCCCTCCAATCCAAGTTTCCAGACCTTTGTGAGGACCTTGCAACCTCCCAATTCATGTGTGTAGAACAAAGAGTGCCGTTCTGAACGCGGAGGGATGGACGTGATTAGTGAAAGGATATGTCGATTTTGCTCTCTTGGCTCGTCTTACTGCATTCTGGCCATTGGATTTCTCCAGGTTTTTGTGAGATGTTGGTCCTAGTTAATCCGTGTCTCCCAGGATGGGATTATCCGCACATGAGCCTTCAGAGGCACAGCTAGCTCTGAGCTAGCACCACCCAGTTCGGGTAGTTAGGGTAGACACCCCCTGACCACGTATTTTCCATGCAATAACTGCCCTTTGGGTGGTGTTGGTTAAGAGTACTGTTCATTCAAGTTGAACATAGCTTCATCTTGATTCACATCCGGATAGTTCACCCTGGCAGTAGAAGATTGTATCCGATGAATGATCGTAAAGGTGGTTCGCCAAGATTAGTGGAAGGTCCACCAAGCAGGTTCTTCCCAGGTGTTCAATCCCAGCAACGGTGACACCTCCGCTTCTCCGTCGTTTGGGAAGCGTCTCAGGACCGAAAGTGCCAAGACCAAAGCACAGGAGCAAGCACCTTGGATGTGATACGGAGATGATTCTGGAGCCAAGTATACCCAGACACTCCATGTATGCCATATATGCCTACATTGGGGTGGTTTGAGGGGTCAATGGGTCGGCATATATGGCAGTCCCATGGAGTGTCTGGGATAGAGGCATCCGACGGTCAGAACCGTCCCTCAGGGCGGTTCCGCCGGTGAGGAGCACCTTCACTTGCTTGACGATCAATCGAGTTGGGGACCACCCATGAAGTTTACTCCTCTTTCCCTATAATCCTGTCCGCCTATGAAAAAACACGGCCCCCCCCCTAATAAGGAAACCTGGGGTCCGTGTTTAAATAGTATACTCGGGATTACTGCACAGTGGTTTCATGTGGTTTCGTTGGTGCCTTTGTTGTGGAAGAAGATAAAGACACAATTTCCGGGCTGAATCCAACCTAGAGCAGTGGGAACAGGCGTTACTCCGGTTGATACACTTCGAGAAAGAGATGTGGAAGTGAACAGAGTTCAGACCTACTTGGCAGAGATCATCCAATGGGTGTCCTGGCTGGAGATCCCTAAATAGGGCAGGGTAGTCCACTGGACACTCATGGGATGGTCCTGATATGTTCGTTGTTAGGAGGGTGAAAGGATGTATTAACCATCAGGGCGGGCGCAGCCTCGATAACATACTCATTCAGCAATTCTTTCGCTTCCGTGGATGAAGCGAAGCCTACAAAGCCTGAAAAGATCGCTGCAACTTCGGATTTGCCTGTGAAGCAATTGTACCGAACGGACATGAACGAACACTGGTGTGCTTGCCCAACCAACCTTTCGCGCACAACCAGATTGAATCAACCACCCATGAAACTCTATCAAAGCTCTCTCCTCCCTGAGAAAAGACTAGAACAACAAAAAAACATAGAAAAGCCACACACCCTCCTGCGCTGCAACCGGCACGCACCGTAGATTTTGTGTCGCCGTCCTTTCCATGCCTCTGTATACTCAGCTCTCAGCTCTCGCAGCTCTCAGCTCTCGCAGCTCAGGTGCAGCAGCTGCTGCGCAAGCTCTTCGATCTCCATGATCTCAAGGCCAATGGCGTCTTGGAGGAGGCGAGGTCCGAGGGCGGGGGCAGCAGTCCGACGCAATGGACGAGCGGAGGAAGACGCAACGCATAGGGAGGGTAGGAGGGGGGTTGGAGTGGAGAGGCCGTGGAAGGGGTGGCATTTCTTGGGGGAAAGAAGGAATGAAGCTGATGTGCTTTGACTTACATCTTACAATCAAATCATGTTGACATGTTAGTTTCCATTCTGGTTGGATGTGTTGACAGATCTTGCCGCCCGTGCACAGACAGGAAACAAAGAAACACCGCAGGAAAGGCTGCAAGAAGGGCACGACGACCTTCTTGCTTTGCGTGGTTTGAAGAAGAATGACGAAAACAATGTTTCCGATTTCCCATTCCCCTGGAATGTTCAGTTTGCCCAACTTGTTTTCTTTTTAGTTTGCTGGACCATGTTGGATCTGGCGCTACTAGTTGGACCACAAGACTTGTAACAGGTATTAGTATTGCCAGTTTTTTTTTTGAACCTAGGGATCCAACATCCTGAGAAGGTAGTTAGACCCCCAAACCCTACCCAAACCACCTTCTCAGGAGATGGTTGGAGCCCCAGTGCAAATATTGCCATTGCCACTCCCTGGAATCATCATGGTTGTGTGGATGGCATTGCCCGAAAACACGGATGATCAGTTGCCGAATAATTACCAACTAGGTGGTGGTGGTGAACTCCACGAAGGCATGATTCCTGGGAGTGTGTGGTCTTAATATTGTGTGTCCCATGACCTGTAAGAGTCAATAAAAGATAGTCACAGTCACTATGTTTGAGATGGTGGCCTGCCACCATCCAGTCTTAACATGGTCCAGAGCGGCTCGATCCTGCACGATCCCGTCGACCGCAGGAGGAGCTCATCAAGATGAACGAGAAGGCCGGTCAAGCAACGACCTGCTTGCGGGGCAGTGGGGGAGGGTGCAGTCCCTAGGTTTACTACAGTAGAGGAGGATAGTTACTATATGATGTTACTATATGTTGGTTTACAAACATAGCAAGTCTTGGAACGTCTCATAAGGGTCTGGAAGAGAATCAGATCTCGAATGATCTCCCCTGTTTTGGGCAACAGTGCAGCGGACGAGAACAGTGCTTGTCCAACGACATATGGGACTAGACACGCTGTTCCAAACCGCTTGGCATCTGGGCTCCTTTGCTCTACACTCCCTGAATAGTTATACCTACATACATGGATGGGTCATATGTGTAGTACATGTATGTAACACTATGTACCTAATGAATTCTATGGATGGTTTGCGGGGGTCGCTCGGCAGTGGATTTGCTCACAGAATTTGCTTTGACAGGTCTGAGGCTCATTGGAGACCAGAGCCGCCATTTGTTTCCCGCCAAGCTGACCAGAGTCGCACAAAAAAGCACACCCTGTCCACCGAAGCATCGCATTGGGGATGGTCTAAGGTTTCTCATGTTTTGTGGGGACCCTTCTCAGATGGTGACCTTGACCCCCGGTGACAGGTGGCCTTGCTTCATTATGGCAAGGAGAAGACAGACAAGAACGCCATTCGGGAGTGTCTCGGCGATGTGACAGGTGAAGACTCATGCGCTTTGTGTGTGTGTGTTTGTGTGTGTGTGTGTTTGTGTATCGTACCTGGAATGATGTGTGGATTCTGTTTCTCACTGCTTCTCGTACCCATCATGGACTCCACTTAGTAGGCAGTTTGTAAAGAATTAGGTTTGCATTGGCATGTGTTCTTTATATATATATATGTACATAAGTAAGGTTGATTCCAAAGGTGCCTTTGTCCTTGTGGTTTGAATCCCATAATGATTGGCTTGCTAGGGATCTCAGATATATAATGATGTCTTGGAGGGTCAGAATTTGGGATGGTGTTGGTCCAGAAGAGACATATCATCACATATCCAAGCTGTTCATGCATTTTTGGTATATGTTTGCCGTGGCCAGGGCCGGTTCTGGCCAACCAATGGCCAGGAAGGCATACTAGAGTAAGTCCAGGGTGGCCCAGAGGTGTTTTGGTGCCTCCATCGATGCCTTTCACCGACTCATCACAGAGTCGTTCCGGAGGAAGTTCCGTGGCGTCTTCCGGGAGCAGCTGGACCCTGAGGGCCGGCCAGTACCCTTTACCGTGTTCCGGGACTACATGCAGGCGCCAGCGGTTCGCCGGCTCCGGTGGCTCCGCAACAAGAAGAAGCGGCCCTGTTAGGAAGCTGAGGTTCAGAGATTTGAAAGGCAAAGGAATGAGCGACCCTTTGCGAGTGTGTTCAAAAAGAATCAACAAGAGGTGTATCCCACAATAGGTGTCTTTGGGGGGATTGGGATGCTGGAACTGAATCAAAGAACCCTTGGTACATCAAAGCCTACGTATGGATTAGAACCCCTGACCCCTCCATGTCAGGGTCCAGCATCGCGTTTGGGTGGAGACCCTCCTTCGATGCCCCAACCTTCGTCCGGACGACCATCTTGTCGAGGGCGTGCTGAATGGGGTGGACGCAGATCCCTCAGCGCAAGTCATGATGGTGGAGCAATTCATTGCAGAGGCCCAACTCCAACTCCATCCGACGCATCGGACGATGGCGTGTCCTTCGTTCGACATATCAATGTCCGTCGACATGTTCGATGATGGGCCGCGTTCTGGTAGAGGGGAGAGGTGGACATTCCAACATGATTTAGGGAAGCCGGCGAAGATCGACTTGGCAGGGGTTCAGGCTGTGAAATACAACCCCCAGAGTGGCGCCTCAGACGTCATAGTTTTGTTGTGGCATGATGTGGCCAGTTTCTTTGATTGATGAGGTCCCTCAGCAAATGGGCGACATTTCATGAGCATTCCTTCAGTCAACATCTTAGGACCTTGGTTGCTTGCATGGTCGTACCCTTCGCACGTCATGGATTTCCTCCATCCGGACAAATCATGCCGGTGGAGTTCTGGCTGTTGAGGTTTAGGACCCATGATGCCGATGCGTGGCAGTGTAGGTTTGGCTGATGAATAGTATCGTTATGTCACGTGAGTCACGTTGCTTCAATTGCGTGACAAGCATTGGGCACAGAGCTCGTCGTTTGGGTGCTCATAGATGGCCTTGTACTATGGTTGATCAATAGGGGAACCCCCCAAGTGAACAACCATGAACGACCAATATAGGTAATGACCCTCATGAATCCTCATCGACCCTCTATGAATCCCAAGTTCGGACATGACTGGTTGAAAGAGGGGGCAAGCAGGCGGAGACGGCGCGGCAAGCCTTCCGCATTCCCTCCCTGGCGAGCGAGTCAGATCAATTCGTCATGCCTCAGGACGGGGCGATAGGGGCAGGGGAGGGATGGGCTATAATGGCCTCGGACAAACTCTTTTCTTTGGTTCTCTGGAGTGTTCTGCCCCGTGACCCACTCCGAAGTCACGGGATTTCAGGGATGACGGGTGTACTGCAGGGGTTGCACCGACGGCGCACTGAGCTTCCCTCGGGTGCTTATAGGGATGGAGCACGAGCGGGCAGTGCATCGCAAGGTGCCAAAGTGGGATGTACATTTACGTTTGAAGGAACAGGTTCATCTCCAAGCAATCATCATATGTTGTTGGAGGTTCCTGCTAGTATTTGCTGTGTGCACTCACCAAAAAGGTTTTCTATTGTTACAGTTACAGTACTGTAAATTGATGTGGGTTTATATTGAACAAGTTTCACCAACCTTTAATGGCCCTTCATTTTGCTTTAGGACGGAACATAACTATTCTGCACAAACTTGTACAAGACCTCGCATGCGATGTCAAAAGCTCAACAACAAGAAAAAACACAGACACGCCGTTAAGCAACTTCCTCGTAACACTGCAAAGAAGCACAGCAACACAACAACTTTCGAACACTTCATACAGGAAGACTCGTCGACACTCGCAGATTCCAAGGCAGCGCTCCCTAAGAAGGATGCGCCGGGCGGCAGGCGTGGTGACTTACAAGTACCTGTGTTAAGTCGTCTGGTCTTGTGGACAGTCGTTTGGATGCTGCGTTTACAATGGGGTTAGATGCAAGATGGCAACATAGCTGGAAGAGTGTCAGGTCAACAACATTGTTTGGATGCTGCGTTTACATGCGGTTTAGGTGCAAGATGTCAATACGATTGGAAGACAAGCCTTGGAATATCAGTTCAACACCATTGTTTGGATAAAAAGATCCAAAAAAGATCCAAATGCGGTCATAAAGGCCAGCCTACTCAGAAATATAACATTCTTTAACCTGCAAAACAGCTTTTTTGGGGGATGGGTTGTCCTAAAAGGTGGGAGGTTCCCATGGAGCCCTTGACTTTTTCCAGAAATCGAAAGGGCTCGGGGTCAGAAATCCAGACGTCGGGAGGCTCTCATGGTGAATACGAGACGCTTACGAGACGCTCGAGAGACGCTCATGTGTCGAACATGAAGATGACAACGGTGGACCGCTGATGGAGCTGGAGCTGGATCTTAGTTATATACTCTATAATGTAGACTCTTGAGGATCATAAACCCTCCCTTTGAAGAGGATGTTCCATTCAAATGGGGGGGTGTATTAATCAAGAGTCTACATGAATTACTCTTTAACTCTCAAAGTCAAATATTGGTCGTGGAAAATGTTCCCTTTTGCACATCCCTGAAGACTAGATTCCTTCACCGAAGCTTTGTGTGCATGTCCTTCTTGAAACGACATGCGTCTCACTTTGGACCTGCAAACTCTTCTGAATCCCTGCAGACTCTTCTGAAGTCCCCCAGAGAAACTGGCAACCTGGGCAACCAAGTCGACTCCAGGTCACAAGTCTGGAGGATACAAAATCCGAGACATCTCAAGGTCTGAATGAGATTGTCATAGGTTTGAACATCTACAGCTACATAGATCTGCAAACCAGGCTCATGCTAAATATCATAGAATGTAATAGATGTTCTTGATTGTTCTTTGGATGTTGATTAAAGAAAGCAAAACAGCGGAAAAAAGAGCTGACATGAAAGAAATAAAGACCATGAGAAAACAAACCACGTGTTTCTTTTTATGGTATTTCATATGTCCATTCGAAGCTGCTTCCAGGAATGGTCACCCAAACGGACACGGTCGATCGCTGGTCGTTGGGCTGTCGGAGTAGCGCAGGCCCAGCACGCTGGCAGATCGCATCGCACAGGAGGAGCGTCAGGGTGAGGGGGGGAGAGGTCATGGAAGAAGGACGCATCGCATAGCCCAGGAAGAATGTTCGGGTCATGGGGGTGCATGGTTCAGACTCCAGACGATGGTTCAAATGAACAGTGCTTCTTGGATGAAATTGGATTGAAGTGGTCAACCTGGCAGGATGCAACGCAAAAGCCTTGTGCCATGACAGGAACAAGATCATCACTCCCCATCATGTTCCTCTTGGGTCATCATTCCTGGAATTTGCTCTTCAAGGACGTATGAATGGCTCGTAGCGCAGCAAGCCTGCGCTGGGGGACGTTCGAAATGAACCCGACAAAATCCACCGTCCGACCCTTGGGCACTGTAGCCAGACTGCCGTGCTACGGCGACCGTGCTGGTCGGCTTGGGGGGTCACGTAGTACTGATATCTACTGTACTGATTTGTGTGTGAGTCTTTTAAAGGTGGAGTTGAGTGCACCACCTTTTCGGACCTGGTTGGTCTTCGGACGAGAAGGGTGATGAAGAGTCTTCGGGCCCCTGATGCTTTCTTCGAGGCGTCCGATGGAGTCCGATGGCGATTCGAGGTTTGCTCGCCCAGGGAACCTCCACGCGTTGGAAACAATGTGAAACAATACAAGGTACATGCAAGTCTTATAACATTTATAACATCTATCGGGACATATCGGAACCTAATCACGGTGATGGAAACTTCAGATCTTGGCTCCTGTTTGATCTCTTTTTTGGGAGGGGAACCCAAGGACAGGGCTCTTCTGTCCCGAAGGTGATCCGCAGGCGGTTTCACCCGTCTCTCAGCAGCTCGGAAACGACTCGCCCAGGCGGCTCAGCCAGGCACGGTTCAAGGGGTCGAGGGAGTCGAGGAGTTTGGAGCAGGTGGGGGGGGAGCTGAAGGGTGCAGGAGTTCTACCAGAGATCAAAGGGTGCAGGATGGTGCAGGCCTTCTGGGTCTTTTTGAATACACTCGCGACACTCCCTGAAAAATGTCATACCTAGACCGCACGGATGACCATTTTCATGCCAAACAGCTTGTGGTTTTCCAGGTATCATGATGATTTCAAAAACGCTTGCGGCTTAGGTTAGAATGTTCAAGAAACCTGATGATTTGTACATATTTGTTCAACAAAAACACGTCAGGCGGAGGTCGGATGTCCAAAGTCGAATCTAGTTCAACAGGAACCAGCCCTTGCTTGGAGACCACTTGAAGTGTGTTTGTTGGATGGACCATTCCTGGTGGATCCTTTGGGTGCCTCCAGTCCGGGGACTGCCTCCATCGATCTCTTGAGCATGTTCGCGTTTGCGCTGGGCGATGCAAACCGCACATGAAAAAAATCCGTGGCGCCATGGCTTAAAGCCATGGCGCAACGGATCCACCGATACAAATGACCCGATACAATTCCATTCAGTCACAGAGTCGTTGGGGCTGGTGACTCAAGTGCAAATGGATCTTCTGGGCACTTCCGAGCACCGTGCACCGCACGTGACTGGAGACGATAAATATCTATTCAAACTACTGAACTATATGGTGGTCCCTGAATAGATAGTCGCACGGTATCCAAGGCATTCTTAGTTGGGAATTTGCTTTTCTGTCTTTTGGGGGGGGTCTATATATATAATAGAGGACATCTTTTAGACCAAGTGAAGAGCAGAGCTGCCCAGTAGTGAAGAGGTATCCCTCTTACTAGCTTCTGTCTAGATCTAGATGCTGGACATTCTTAGTAGACCAGAAGAGGAAGGGAGAGGCTTACTACCTCTTAGTAGAGGCTTACTACCTCTTCATGTTTCAAACCTTTCCCCGCTCTCCACCCTGAAGACGGAGGTGGAAGCTTGCCCGTGGGGCGGCAGCCCGAGAGTGAGCCGCAGCTGGCGGCCGAGCGGACTGCGGCGCCGCTGGGCTGGATGGGCGATTGGGTGGGGGAGGATGGACATGATACTTTGTGATTCTACAGCTGGGTTTCAGTTCTGTAGCTAAGAATCTTTTGAAGTAGCTAAGAGAAATTCAGCCAAGCCAAGCAAGCCAAGCAAGGTGCGAGTTCGAGGTTGATAACATGAGTGATGCTTACAAGGTTGGACTTGTGGTTTAAGTTTCATATATAGTGAGGTTTACAGAACCCCGAAAAGGATGGTTCTTGCAATTCTGTAGCAGCCTTGATTCAGAACCTCAGCCTCGCCTAGTGGCCTAGTAGGCTTCAGATGGTTTCAGAGTCCCCTGGCTGGGCCAGTTTCTGTTTCTGGATTCTTGATTCGCTACATGAGTTCCGGCAGAGACGGTCCAGGGATGTGGGTGGATGGTTTTAGACCAAACAGGTTGCCTGGCCATCCGCTGCGTTTTCGTGTGATGTCTTCGAACCCGAGGGTGTTTTGGCTCAGCACGTGAGAGACTGCCGTTCATGACGAGCGTCTCAGGACGTTTGGCCCTGAAAGCAGCTCGAAGCCCGAGGCTCCACAGGACCCGGACCCCTTTGGCGCGAGCTTGGGAGGGGGCTCATTGAACTCATGTCCAAGGAGATGTGACATGGTTGAGTACAGGATAAAAGCATGCTTGCACATGGGGATCATGGGTTTCCTTTAGCTACAGCTTGGGGTGCAAGCTGTCTGTGCAAGTATGGAGCACCTTTCAAACAAACTGTTGTTGCTTTGGGGGCAGAAGGAACTTCTGTGCTGAAACCCTCTAAAGGTGCTTGTTCGTCTATGATGATACACCTTGGCCTTCTGCCCTTGCAGTTGAGGCCTCTAACAAACGTTTGCAGCAAGAACAAACACAGACACAGGTGATGTCAGGGTACGTCATCGAAGTACTTCAACAACGATGGCCAGCCACGACCACTGGCCACCCACGCCTCCGCGACGTCGGACTGCCAGGATGCTGCGAGTGTGCCATTCCAAAAGGGAGACAAGTTGCAGGTGGGTTGTTGGTTTCGCGATCGCCTGGGATGGTGATGGTGGGATCCCCCATCCAAGACCGATGACTGGGTGACTACTGAAGCTCACGAATGACTGGGTGTTGCAGGCTGCAGGTGGGCAGTTTCTCAATGTTGTTACATGATTTTGCTCACATAAACTGGTGCTCAGTGCGTACTCTGTACGTTCGAAACAGTCAAACACTAAAGGGAGTGAATCCAATGATGTTACTGTAATTATATTCAATTACTACTATCATAGACAGGCACTTAGAATATATAAATAGAATCATTGAGATGATTTAGGAAATTTGAGCGTGCAATGATGTTAGGTGATGTTATAGGAATGTTCAGGGTGTGACCCAGAAAAGATGCACATGTCAGACATGCAGCTTTGGGTTTGGTGCACCTCTTAAGTGCTAGCTTGGATGTCTTTGTTCTACCAAAGTAAGGGCCAATCGGTATACTAGAGGTACCCCAGTGCACAGCGAAAACGGACAAAAACGCCTATGTCGGGCACCTGAGGTTGGAGATGGCTCAAAACCTGCAGCTCCAAGCCCCGGTTGGTTGACCATATTTGCTAATTGGTTCTGTTCATTTTCCACCGTGGCGACCTTTCGAAAGAAGACCACGGCCGCTGCGTTCGCTCGCTCTTTCCCAGAACACATGCGATCCCGAACAGAACATGAACCGAACAGGCTACCAGACATGGGTAGCTGCTACAAGGTGTTTGGAGGCTTTTGCTACAAGGTGTGTGTCCATTTTCAGCAACAACGTTGCCTTTACATGCATGCTGCTGTGGGGAAAGGTAGCCCATAGTGGGCGTCAGACACCATCCTTCAATCAAAAATGGCCGCGGTGTTTGTGATTTTGAAACACGGGCGTTTTAAGTTTTGTTTTCCGTCCCAAAAGATGCCTCTTCGCAAAAGGTCGTAACTGGGAAGTCTTCCGAGTCTACTCATACGCAGCATGTACAGCCCATACCTGCTGCCAGGATACCTTGACACAACATGGAACAAGTAACTGGTGCGATTTTCGGTGGTTTTCTTCTCTTGGAGCACCTCTTTTGGAGCCAGCAAGACAGTTTTCTCCCTTCTGCCGTTCCTTCTTTTTGCTGTTTTTGTTGTTCTCTCTTGGAGCTGTTGATTCGGCACTCTGTCAATCATTCACCCTTCGGTCCGACCGGACCGTTGGGCGCTGTCCCGAAGCATGTCCGGTAGCCGGGTGCCACGGGTGCCGCTGTGGGTCTGTGGGTCACACTCCAAAGCGCAGCTTGACCATGTCTGGTAGTCTGTTCTGTGCCTTTTCGATTTCGAACAACGGGTCCTCCGGTGACATGACCCACAGCCGACCCCCACAGGTGTGGAGCAACTCCAAGAACAGCTGGCGTGATGGTGAAGTGATCGAGGCGGCTTCGACAGCGCCTCCTGTGAGCGCCTGTGGTCCTGTCGAATGGCGCTGGGTTCCAATGCAATGAGAAGTACCATGCATGAATGTTGGTTCAACATCAGAACTCTACTATCGTATACATTTCCTTTACAAGGGGGTTTGGGTGGCACCCGATTTGTGAGCCACAGAAATTTGCCTGACAAACATGAAACTAGAACGGCCCAGTTTGTATAGAGTTTTTGGAAGACGCTGTTCCACTTCCATGTTTGGACAGAGGGCAGACTTCCGATTTTGCTCCACACCTTTCATCCGACATATCCTATACCATCTAATGTTTGCTCCGACCGCAGCCTACTGCACCCACCAAAGATGTGTTTTGTTTGTCTCTCTTTTTTGCTCCGCAGAGCGCACGGCACCGCCCTCGGCGGAATCCGCGCTCGGGAGGCCTTTCCGAAGGCCTGCAAGGCGGAAGGCTTTGCGGTGCCCGCCGGGACGATCAAGGCCGCGGGTGTCGGACGTGGTGTCCCGTCGTGGTTCGGTGAAGCTACTGGCGTAACTCGGTGAATGAAAAGCCAGAACTGGCAACATGAGATGAAAGTTCCAGGTGAGCTTTGGGGGGACCAGTTGCTGTTTCAATGAGAGTGGCTTCAGGGATATGGTTGGAACTGTTCAAAGACTGTTTTGTTTTTCAGGCGGCTTCTTGAGTTTGACTGGTGGGGAGAACTGAAAAGAAGTCCTAATTGAGTACACAGTGGAAGCCCCAAATCGGGTTTGGTTCGCTGGACGCCCGTAGAACGCAAGGTCTGGGTGGGAATCCACACCTGATGTGGTCAAAAAGACAGCTTCTCAGCAGGAGAAACTGATATTCCAGATCACATCCAAAGATTATCTTGCTCTGCTCTGCCTGAATTAGTGTTTAAACACATTTCCTCGAAACATTCGAAACTCTGCAAAAGAGTCTTGTTGAGGTCACCTTCGATGAGAAAACCATCAAGCGCCTTAGATGATCAGGAGTTCGGAGTTCGGAGCTTTTCGCGTGGAGGGGTTCTTGGAAGGGCCTGAAAACCAATACCCCCTCAGTGACTCAGTGGATAATGTTTTACCTATCTTGAATATCGAGAATTGGTGGGCCCCACTAAACAAGAACAGATGAAAAAACAGGTTGTGTGATGTAACTCATACGCGTTATGTTCCAGTTCCAGGGAAACTGAGGAGTCAGATCCTGCTGAATCCAACCACCTTCTGAGAAGGTACGTAGCTAGGGTTAGAGGGTCTCTACCTTCTGTTGGGGTACAAAAGTCTATGTTCCCGTACCGTCTATCAGTGTGCAGTATTCCTTTGTCAGACAGAGCCATTCTATGGAACATTGATCAACACTGGCAGTGAATCAACAGCAATAACAACATCCAAACACCATGATGTCAGTCGAGTTGGTTGATGGTTTGTCCACCTCTATGCCAAGACAGCCATCAACAGTTTCACTGAAGGCGGGTTGCCTGTCCACTGTGTGGGGTTTGGTGGGGAGGTGAAGAACCTCACCAGGAGAGAAGAAGGAACTCACCAGGGGTTGCGGAGCTGGCGTGAGAAGCATTTGGGTCACTGCAATGCTCACAAGAACCTGCAATGCTCTCGCATCCTAAGAGTAGACACACCATCAAATTGACCCTTAAGACCATCTAAATGTCCAATAGACAGACCATCCCAAACCAAATAGGACGTTTCTAACCATATTTGTGTGTAAACAACACAAGAAATAACACCGACAACATACCTTACCGTTTTCTATGTAAGAAAACGGTACGTATACAAGCACCACCCTGTCAGGCTGAGGCCCGTGAAATGGACCCTGGGGTGTGTAATTCCAACCTGCCACGGTTGGCACATTCCCAAACGCGGTTGGTGATTTTAAGGGTATTATATTATATGTTTTAGTTGGATTTTTGTGTGTTTAGTGGTTAGGTGGTTTTTGGCTTCTGTGGCTTTTGTGGCTTCTGGCTTTGGTGGGTTTTGGCTTCTGTGGCTTTTGTGGTTTCTGGCTTTGGTGGCTTTTGGCTTCTGTGGCTTTTGTAGCTTCTGGCTTTGGTGGCTTTTGGCTTCTGTGGCTTTTGTGGCTTCTGGCTTTGGTGGCTTTTGGCTACTTTTTGGCTCCCGTTGTTTCATTGTTTCTTTAACTATGTTCATTGTTTGTTGTATGTGCTGTAAATACCTAGTCATCTCTTCTCTATAAAACAAAGAATTCAGTTCCATGATGATTTTCTATAAGACTGAGGTTGTTTCTCCTTCTTTTTAAAGGTTTCGATCCGAAAGGGGGGAACCAAGAAGAAGAGATCAAACTATCAAACTGAAATCACTGCAAAACACATGAACCGCTCAAGTCCGCTCCTTTTTTGACACGTCTCGTTGGGAGAATCACTGCCTCCTTGAATGCGTCGAACGAACATTGGAAGAGCTATCGCGGCCCAAAGTTACTTGTGGATGCAACAACAGCTCGCGGTTCTGCCACAGCTTCAAGGTACTCAAAAACATCGTTAAAGTGGTAAAGAAGATGCGTCACGCACTGCAAACGTGATAGGCACATTGCACCGTTCATCTGCATAGGTGGAGAGAGGGGAGGCGGAGGGCAAAAATCGAAAAAAGTTCACAAGTCTGAATGTGGTTGTGAAATCTGTGAACGTTACTAAGGCCAGCATGCATGTAAGATCTGTTGATCAGGTCAGCAAGTGTTGGCATGAGTCCCGCATGTCCTGGTCAAACTCAGGTTGCATTCTTTTCGTTTTGAGCACATAAATCGGAAAACCGGAATCATCGAGTGAACATGTTTCAATTGTTTTCCTTTGAAACTTCAGAATTGTTGGTAGGTGTGTATATAGAATATTTATGAACATATATATTATATTATATACACATAAAATCTGAGTGACTTCTTGTGTTTGGACCACGAACCACCCCAAACCAGTCCGCGGCCTTGTCCCATCAGAACATCAGAACAAGGGTCCTGTGGAAGTATAACCTTGACAGGAAAGGACCATATTCTGGCTCCAAACCAGGAGTCACTCAGGTTGTAGGTATATATAAACCTGGAACCCAACTGACCCCTATGTTGATAGGAAAAGGCCATATTTGGGTTGGTTGGTGGTCCAACATAGAGGTCATTCAGGTTCTATATGTGACGCCCGTCACCGGTTACGCCTGTTCCCTCCCCTCCCGTCCTTCCAGGTGGGTGATGCCAGGCCAAGCCGCTTCACTCCTGCGGAGGTTCCGCGCGTTCCGCGAAGGCGGCCGATCCCCAAAGGCTGTTTAGAGGCTTCCGCGCGACCGGTCTTTCGAAGGCGATCGGTCTTTCGGGCGGGGTTGGGAAGTTCGGTGCATGGAGATTCCAGGGACGTGAGGCAAGCTGTTCGAATCGGCAAGCTGCGGCAGTTCGACGTTTGGTGCGATGGAGTTTTCTGCCCCGAGAAGGAAGAGAGTAGGTGAGGGTCCCGTTGGTGACTGTCAGTGGACAGGGGACAAGTTCAGGGCCCTGAACTTGTCGGCTGTAGCTTTACAAGCGGTGTTGAAAAGTGTTCCGGTTTTAACGATCAAGGGGTGTGTGTGTGTGTGTGTTTAGGACTTCTTTTTGAGAAGAGCAAAACCCCCCGGAACTGGACTCGTGGCTGAAATCCTAGAGAACCGACATGTCCATGACCTCCCAAAAAGGCCGGGAAGACCAAACACGCTTCTTGAAATCGAAGACGGGCTTTTTCGAGAGCAGCCTTTCTTTGGTGGTGGACAGGTGGGGGTACTGCCAGAAGCGCCAAGAGTACACCTTTTTGGGGTGGAGAAACACTCTTCAGGTCAACAAGTAATGTTCCATGGCATAATGATACTCTGACTCACTAACAGAAACATGGAAGTGGAACCCACCCTGTGTGTAAAGGAATTCCAAGTCATTCCATGGGTGCACGGGAACCATTTTACACCTGCATGCTATAGTGACTGTGTCGGAGTCGGAGTTCTGTGATGGGAAGCCATGACTGGCCTCCCCTGGTCACCTGCGCCACCCTGGTCACATGGAGATTCCTACCACGATGTCAGACGCACCCAGATGAAGACTTAGTGATGGCGGGGTCGGCGGTGGGAAGCCATGACACTTGGGTGGGGTGGGTCACCCCGTCGTTGGCCAGGTGCCCAGATGCCTGAGGCATGCACCGCACGCTGGTGCCGCAAGAGCATCAGCATCGAGCATGCTCGTGGTGAAAAAAGACGATGCAGTGCGCGGAGTCTACTTGTTGTAAAATACCCACAGTTTTGATCTGTGGGTGGCCATCGATTGATTGCATCAGAGTCAGGACCCTAATGAGATGCCAGAACGCGAACCTCCCAAGAAGCGGAGCATTGCGGAGCGACATTTGGACTGCTTTCTGCTTCCTTGCCTTCGACCATCTGGCATAAGCCAATCTCTTGCAGATCCGACCGTCCAAAAGTCCCGACCCCATCGACCCTTTTCCAAAATGGTTGGATTCCGTCGGAGCAGAGTGGACACTGAAGATGGTCGTTTGCGGAAAAAGACGACGCCTTCATCCGCCCTCCAAAAGAAAACGTCATGGCTCCACACCGCCGTCAGTCTACGTGCCACGCGCCGCCCGCCCGCATGTGTGCCAACGCGCCCGCAGAAGTCTCGCCGTCTCGTGGGGGAACGGAAGTCATGAGATCGGGTGCAGCTTCGCGCTGAGCACTTGCCGCCCGCAGCACGGTTTGGAGCCAGTCTTCCGAATCTGGAACCAGCGTTCGTTGGGCCTCCGACCGGTCCTTCGCCATTTCAGACGTCAGACGATCTGAGCGTCCTCCCGTTCGGCCGACGCCCGTCCCATGTCGGCATCCGTCGCTCTCGTCCACTCGGGAGAGGGAGCGACGTCCACGGCCTCCCGGTTCCGGGCCTGAGAGTTCCGCTTGGAACAGGTGGCCAGGTGGCGGATTTCGTGTGGTCTTCGGCCCGTGTTTTGGGTGGACATGTTTGCCCCACTTCTTCCAGCACGCAAAAGGTGAACTGAACGGGCCAAGACACAGTTCGGATGTTCGGATTCGTGTAGTACTAGTACTTGAGCGTTCAGTCTAGGTGGTGCGCTGCTTTGAAGAGCAAGAACCACACGCACATGCAGAAGCTTCAAAGGATGAAGAGAAACCCGAAGGATCGGTGCCAGCGTCGACTTGTGCAACTGGAGAAAGCAGTGGTGGCAACACTTCCAAACTGATGCAGGTTTCAGTGTTCGGGGAGACCTGGCTGGACCCACTGCGAGTGGCGTCCTGTCACGTCCGAAGGGGCGCCGTTCGTCACGTGCGACGGGCGGTGAATGTTGGTGGTTGGGTTGCTTGATCTTGAGTGAAGATGAAGGACGCATTCTACCGCATTCACCACCATACTGGTATCAGCTATGATGCTTGATGTTCATGTCTTTGCAATGTGTTTGTGTGTCCAAATGCATCCTGGTCTCACATGCTGCGTAGAAGCGACCTACACACGATCCTAACTGGACATAGCTGGACTGCAGATTCACAAGGTAGAGATCTATACTATAAAGATCTATAAAGTTAGTTTAATATGTGTTATATATGAATTGTGTAGTCTCCTGCGTTTGGGAGTGCGGCACCCTGGCATTTCTTTGTGATGAGCGTGCGCGGGTCAGCAGGACGATGTACCGATCATCAGGACTGCGTTGACAGCTTGTCATGCCAATCCTTCGCCAGCAGATACTGGCAGCAACGCCCATGCCAAATCCGGCTAGACTGTGCTGAAGAGTTCCTGGCTATGTCCATGAGGGTGTGGTTGCTCCCCTGGTCCTTTGGTCCGCAGGTGGTCTCATGGTCCATTGGTCAAAGAAGTGTGAGATTTGAGAAATTCATAATAGTATGTCCAATTTAGCGCGAACTCTGCAAAACAAACGAGTGTTTCTTGCCATGGAAGAGAGTGCTTCACCCTCCAGTTGACTTGGTCCTTGTGTCACTGTTCGGATGCCCTTCATTGATGGGGCACAAGGGTGTGTCGTTCTCGATGATTAATTTTTTTGTGGTGTCTTCCAAGTCTGGTGGCTATTGAGATCTATTGAGTGTTGGTCCACTGTGGGCAGCAGGCGCTGCGCCCTCCGAACCACCCTCCAGCATTTGCCCACGGCATTTTTGCCCATGCACTGGGCGTGCATGCGCCTGCCACGAACACATGCTTTTAACATCTTTTAACATGTTTAAAGGCCGCCCATCGCATCTCCACGCCAACAATCGCATCTCCTCGCCCAAGGTCTTATGTTTTGCACACACTCTTTCATTATCCTTTGGCGGGTAAGAGGGCCCAGCCTTGTTGTGTCAAACAGTTTTCCCCTGTGCTTGGGGGTGGGAGATGAGCGTCCTGTTGACATTTTGATGTCGGCGGGTACGACCACAATTGGAAACAGCTGCCCTTGCCAGACAGTGGACTTGAATTTATCCGAAAGTAGACAAGGCCACAGAGCAACGGCGCATTTAGTTCAACAAGACTTGTGCCACGGATGAGAAAAGTGAGACGTCGCCTCAATTGTACGGAATATTTTAGGGCTTACGCCCGACAGCTGGCCAGGGGCCCAACCAAAGGGGAGGGGGAAGGGAAAGAAAGAGAAGGGTGATGCGGGTCGGTGTTGTGGTTGTGGTGGATGTTGTGGGTTAGGGTCGCGTTAGTGTTGCTGTTGTTGCTGGCGTTGGTGTTGTGGTTGTGGTTGTCGTTGTGGTTGTGGTTGTGGTTGTTGTTGGTGGTAGGGATAAAAGCAGCTGCCCAACATAGTTGTCACATGTTGCAAGTCAGGGATTTCAAAGGGGCACTGTTAGGGATAGGGTCGAAGGTTTGGAAAGATGTTAGTAGCTGGACTTCTTGTCGTTGTGGTACTCAAGTCTTGGTTGGTCTGTTTCTTGTTTCGATTTTTTTGGATGTTGTTTTGGAGGGGGGGTCAAAAAAACAACAACGGGGCTGCAGATTTTGTTTCTAGGGGGGGTAGTGACAACAACATCTTCTGAGGAGGGGGTCGAAAAAACAACAGCGGGGCTGCAGTTTTTGGCTCTAGGATGTGGTAGAGGTTCTAAGTAGAAGTTTTACACAGGCTTAGCTGACCGGACTACCACCACCACCACGACTACTACTACTGCTACTACTACCACTACCACTACCACTACCACTACTACTACCACTACTACTACTACTACTACTCCTACTCCTACTCCTACTGCTACTGCTGCTGCTGCTACTACTACTACTACTACTACTACTACAGCGACCACTACAACAACGACTACTATGAGTACGAGTACAAGCACTACGACTACTGGTAAAAGTACATGTTGGCTGGTTGCTTTCGAGGGGGGTCAAAATAACAACGACGGGGTTGCAGATTTTGTTGCCACCCCCTTGTAGAGACAAAGGAACAAGATATCGTGTAACGGGGCTGCAGTTTTTGTTTGTACCTTGTTGTTGTTGTGGTGGCTGTTGTGGTTGTTGCTGTTGTTGTTGTCGCTGTTGTCGATGTCGTTGTCGTTGTCGTTGTCCATCTCGGGGCTAAGTTAGCCCAAGGTGGACCTATGTTGGCCCATCTTGGGTCTATGTTGGGCCCATCTTGGGGCTATGTTGGCCGAAGATGATTTTATGTTGGCCCAGTTTGGGTCTATGTTGGGGCCCCGCTTGGATCTATGTTCGCGCCATCTTAAGGCAAGATTCAAGTTTTGAACGCACCACCAGCACAGAGCTCAGGTCCGCCAGATGGGCGAAAAGGCAGCCGTGCCCTCGCTAGCTAAACGTTCATGATGAGGGCGACGCCACAGTTGATCTTGAGCGTTGGTGCGAACCGATCGCGCATGTACCAAAGCAACATATGGCACGTCAGCCGTCGGGCAGCTCAGGTCCGCCAGATAGAATTTCTAGACGATCCCCGGACATTTACATTTTCGAACAATGTCATGAGTTGCGCAGCTTAACCCCAAACGCGGGCAGCCAGACATCGCCTACCGTTAACCAGTCTCCCGCAACCGGTCCAGCAACACAAACACGCCGGCCTCCCTCCGTTCACGCTCCGTTAGACTCAAGCTGGAGCTGTTGAATGTGCCTGTCAGGGAGCATTCGACGGGACAGGTTGGAGCAGGCGTTGGCAGAGCGAGGTTGCGGATTGTCGGGCAGCGGAGTTTTGGCAGTGCATGCGGAGGTATAAATGGATAGACATAAGTAAAGATCGAGAAAAAGTGTGCTATGCTTAGGGTCTAGAAAGAATAATAAGAATAGAAACAAGAAGATGAAGTAGAGTTATACAAGTTGAGGTAGAGCATGTGCGGTTTTTACGCCGCTTGTGGGATTGTAGGAAGAAAGACGGATTGCAACGCGAGGCCGCTTGTAAGCTAGAGCGGCCAACGGTGCGCTGGAAAAATTCACGACGGGTAGCCCAAAGGTAGTGACTCCAGGGTGTGCGACAGAGTGCACAAGTGGGTTTGGCATCCCCACCCCCTATCTCTACAAAACCGGAGGGGGACCTGTCTAAATGTAAGCTACATTTTTCAAGGTTTTTGGGGAGGGAGGGGGGGGTCTAAAAAAATGTAGCTTACATTTAGACAGGTCCCCCCCCCATTTCTGGATTTTGAGGACCCTTTGCAGGAAACGCATGAAACTCGCTTTTGGGGGGGGGTCGTGCGACTGTCGTCCACCCGACGAGGGCGCGGGGGGGGGGGTCGTACGAGCGTCGTCCCCCCGACGAGGGGGGGGGGCTCGTAGATCTCTTCGGCATAATATGGGAGAATAAACAATCAATATGGAAAATTGAAAGCCACCTGGAAAGGCTACCAAAAGGTCAAAAGGCTTTGGAATGGCTCAAAGGCTTGAAACTAGGTTGGGTTGTGGAGGTGGGAGATGGCCAGGGTGGCTGGGTCATAAGAGAACCATAAGAAACGTGTAACGTTTTTGTTTTTGTTATGATTTGATATAGTCTAGTTTTGATATGATTTTGGTATGGTTTTCCTTTTCCGAAGGATGGAGGCAGGTTCCCCAAAGCCTCCTGGAAAGGCTACCAAAAGGTCAAAAAGCTCTGGAGTTGCCCAAAGGCTTGAGAAAAATCAGCAATGCATACCAAAAGAATAACGACACCATAAAAACATACTTTACATGCATGCTTCTGTCACTGGCTTGGAAGTCTTAAAAATAGCAGGAAAAAAGGAAGAAGGTCTAGAGGAAAAAGGTAAAACACAGAAAGGCGTCAAGAAAACGGAACCTCCAAACATTTATTCAAACAATGTAACTTACATTTTTTAAAGTGTCCCTAAGAACATGTAACTTACTTTTTTTAAGCCCAAAGTTGCAAAAAATGTAGCTTACATTTAGACAGGTCCCCCCCCTTAGGGGTGGGGATGGTTTGGCCACAGGAGTTAGTGTAGATCGTAGAACTTTGTGCATAGGTCGAAAGAGGGTAGACCAGACTTATAGACGTGGCTCAAGTTACAGAGCTGGTATGGACGGCTTGGCAGGGCACGGTCCAAGGTGGGGAATGGCCGTGGTCGATGCCTGCGGATATGGGTGGAACACCAAGATGACAATGGCAAGCATGTAGACATGGCTATGGCCAGCGCAGAAGGGCAGACACCAGCAGTGACAGTAAGAGCAAACATGTCTTCAGCAAAAACTGAGCATCCCCAGCAGTAAACTGTTCGGAGAAAAGATATGCGACGTCCTCTGCGACCGCCAGGCTGCTACAGGGGCCAACATGACGGCCGGGTGCCACTGTGCCACGCCCGACTCCTTGCCGCCCAAGAAGAAGAAGAGAAGAAGGAGGCAGCACGTGCAAAGCGTGCTGCAAGGGCGGCGGCCAAGAAGGCCGCAAAGCCGAAGGCCAGGCCAAGGCCCGAAAAAAGGAAAGGCGCGCAGCCCGCGAAGAGCGGGAGCGTGCGAAGAAGGTGAAGGCGGGGACCGGGGAGCCAAACGCCAAGCCCGACGCGCCAAAGTGAGCTTCGAAAGGCGTGGCGGGAAACCTCCAACGCCAAGCGCCGCTCGAGGCGATGGCTAGAAGCAAAGGCCGCAGAGTGGGGCGGTCTCCCAGAAACCAGAAGCCCGGCAACCTTGTCAAACGTTTTTGCATCCCTAGACGTCCAATACCAGTGGCTAATGGTCGACCAGGCTTTCATCATGTAAAGTCCGTAGCTGATTTAGTAAGTGGAAGTAGATTAATTGCGGTCGGAAGCCGGTGAAAGGTCTCACAAAGTAACATCGTAGCAGCCATGTGTTTGCTGATTCCCCCTCTCCATGCACACCATCCGCTTGACGGCGTCAACGCGCCAGGCGCGCCTGGAGGCAGGGCCTTTTCTGGGCGAGGACTCGAACGGACAAGACTCCACGCCGACCGGCCGGACGGCCAGGATCCTGACAGCGACGTGGCTCGAGCGACGAGGGCGAAGCTCGACCACAAAAACGCACGCCTCCGGAGAGCACGGGCAGCTAAGCGTTGCGCCCCCAAGACGAGGGGCGACAGGGAGAGGAGCGACCGCGACAGACACACCCGGCATCGAGGCGTGGGGAAGCTCGACGGCCGCACCAAAGCCGCCAAAGGGCAGGCGAGGCGGCAGGCGGAGGTCGCCCGCGCCTAAGCTGCGCCCAAAAAAACAAAGCGAAACACGGCCACTCGCGCGCGGCTCAGGACGAGCTCTTCGAGATGCTTAACCAGGCAACGGAAAGCGAGGAGGAGAAGGAGGCAAGGGAGACGGAGCGCAATGTGGTACGGACACACGCGCGGGCGGTGGCAGGCCGCGACTGGGAAGACGATGTGCTTCCCCAAGAAGAAAAAGGCGGGTGAACTCCAGCGGCGGGAGAAAACCAAATATAAAAACTTATGCCCCGTGCCCAGTGAATTTCGATGAGTACAGTAACTGAAATAAACGCTGCAGGGTTGTCATGTCGACGCTGCCGCGCCGGCGTGCTGCTGGGTCCCATCGGCGTTTGGGTCGGCGCGCGCGGGTGCCCTGGTCCACGAAGAAGAGGCACAGTCCCCAAACATTGACCCAGTATTTCTACCAAAAATGAGTTATCTATAGTTATCTTGATGATAAAAACCATTTCCACGATTCAGGTGGTTGCAGGCGTTGGGTTAAAAGTTTAACTTGCTTTTTCAGCTTTTCATTGCCACAAATGGTTTCGACTATTGAAAACCAATCCCCCTAGCAGTTTCGCCAGGCATCCGCAAAAACAACCACTATCCAGTCCAAACGTGGTGTGGACTTCTGAAAACCAATATTCCTTGCTGTTTGGCCAGCTACGCCCCAAAGCTATCAACTATGGTTCGCTAGGCTTGAGTGAGCCCAGGCCAACCCACATGAGTGCAATATTTGCCATGCAATCTAGGGGGCAATGGTTGCTGGAGAGGTATGACGGCTTTCAAAGGTAGCCACCGTCGTTGTGACATGTGGCGGTACATCCGTCTCCATGAGACCGGCGGCAACTACCTCGACATGAAAATGGCTTTGGCCAGCATTGGACAAGAACCTGGGCCACCTTGTTGGCGGAAACCGATGCAACGGAGGATGGCCAGAGATTTGCGCTTAGGTGCCAGCAAGGGGATCAGGGCTTAGCCCAGCCCGCTGGCGCAGTCAGACACCAGAGCTTCGCTCAGTATCGGTCGTCCTCCATGCTAACCACGCTATATGTGGTGCTCAGCATCGGCCAGAACCGCTCGCACATTTACAAAGGGAACATATGGCACGTCAGTCGCTCCCACCCGTTGCTGCCCAAAGCTGTGCATGAGGTGTTGCGCACAGAAAACACCTTCACCCACGCACTCTCACCCACACTCGGACTCGCAATCACTCTCGCTCTCTCACTCACGCTCGCACTCACCCCCACGCTCACCCACACGCACTCACGTCAAAATTACTTAGGAATTAAGGGCGTGAATTTCCTCTACAAAATCGCGACGGCTGGGACCCGTAGAAGCCGATTTTTTTAGCCAGATTCCTTTGGTGAATATGGCGGCTTGTAAGTACCAACCTGGAAGTTTATCGATTTTATAGAAAATTGTTGTTTTGTGCAAGTTCGGTTCTATAGAGGTGTTGAAGTGATGGTGTAATGGATCTTTGTGCCTCAGGCATATGGATGAAAAATAGAGAATTATTTACCATGGGTTTGCACGTCAGGGACTGCAATTCTGTAGCGAAGTGGATGACTTGGGGACGACCTTTGGACACTATACAATCACAGACCCATACCTGTCCATGACAACCTCCTATTTCTCTATAGGTTTGTGGTCCTATCAATTGGGGAATCAATGCCTTCGTGGACAATTGCATGTCCATTTATTTTTTCAGAGCCTTGCACCTTGATTCTATAGAGACCCATGCTTGCACTCCTATTGAAAAACACTTGTTCGGGAGCACCTTAGGACCTGCATTTTTATAGGGCAAGATCCTCAGTGGGTACCCCGAGGGTTGCGATTTTATAGTGCTAAAATGCTGGGACCACTGTTTGAGGTGTTCCTGTTAACAAAGCAGATTTTTTTCAACCAGTCAGATACCCTCAAAATTACATTAATCCTTGGTGGGTTTAACCACGTAAAACTAATTCCAGATTATTTGAGGGTGGGTGGGAGTAGGGGGTGGTCCAAGGCAGGCCGCATAGAAAACCAGTACAAACAGTTTTATAACGCTAACAAATACTCTGCACCCTGGACCGCGCTGCGCTAGGACTGGTTCAGTGCTGTACGTATTTGTAAGTGACATTTATCCAGGACCGAATCGTACGAAATACATATACATATATATATATAAATATACTAGTCTGACCCCTCCTTCCAGCAAAGGGTTTTTAGTATTTTTGGCGTCGTTTCTCGCAAGCCATTGCTCAGATTCCTGTGTGATTTCGTGTTCCTTTGGCCAGCACTTGCTTATTCGAAGTTCTCCACGGACACAAAATGCCAACTGGAACTCGGCAGCGGCATTGCCCAAAAGGAAGGTCGGGGCTGCATAGTAATTATCATCAAAACAATTTTTGGATTCGGAACGAAGGCATTGGGAGTGTGGAAAAATCACGAAAGCTAGCACCAGCTAGCTGGAGTTGTCCTTGCTTTAGCAAGTGAGGGGGTGGAATCCTCGGGATCGCCGCATCACGTGAAAACTTCATATGTAGGGGGGGGGGCCCCCCCCCTCCCCCCCCGTGGGTTCAACTCCCCCCTTCGGACGCCTTTGGGACACCTCTCGGGCATCACTTATGGCATCCACTTTGGCTTATATAATTCCTCCGGGATACGGTGCAACAAGTTCAACAAGCTCACAGGTTCATGACATCGACATCGATAGAAGAAATCAAACAAATCATGCAAGCAGCTTTGTTTTGCCTCTGGGACACCTCGTTCAACTCCTCCGTGGAGGTTTTGGGATACGCAACAGATTCAACAAGCTCACAGGTTCGTGAACACATCGGATGCATCGAACAGTGTGGCAAAGTCCAGCCACGTTTCCTTAATTATCGGGGACTTCAATTCTAAGGTTGGCTGTGTCATTGCTGTTTGTGTGTCCTACATGTTCACAACGCTTTACCTTATGAGCATTTGCCTCACTCCGCTTGATGTCCCACCAGCCCGGATGCACCCCTGCTAGCTTTCGTCACCTACCCTCGGCCTCAAGTGTGGGTTTGTGACAATGTTGTGCCACCGCGAGCGGCAATGCGCGTGCGCAGTGGCGGGCATGGCCTGTGCACGATTAGAGCCACGTCGCCCGTACATGAAGAAATACATTCGGAAATACACCCGTCCGGTTAAACATACCCTCTTGCGTGCCCAGCCATTTAAGCTGCACACCTCCGCACGCTAGCCCCGCGTCCGATGAACGCAATGCTTGCTGCTGCGCCAGCTGTGCCCCATCCCGCCATAGTCGCCGCGGCGCAGGAATGTGATTTGCAGCATGATGTCTTGGAGGTGTTTGCTAGGTTTGGGTCGGCGTTCGTTTGAACATTTGGAGGCACTGATGGGAATCAGGCAACGCCATTCACTGCATTTTGTTGAAGCCACACAATACAATATGCACCCCCCACTCGGAACATGGTTCCAGGAGCCCTGCAAACATCGTGGACTTCGCTTGGGCCAGCTCACTTACCCTGTCATATTGACCACTGCGACGGCGCTGGCGGCGAAACAGCGGGCCAAGGCAGGTCGAACTTGCAAGCTTCGCACCAGGCGTGTCCGCCTGGCCGCCGAAGGTTTTCCACAGAGCGTCCCTGGGCAATCTCGAACATTTTTTGGTGTGGGGTGCATGTTACAGGGAGACCCTCCCCAAAAGAAGTACACACGAGAAGGACACGAACCCTTCTGGAAGAAGGGCGATAGACCTGGTTCGTGTTTTTCCTATTTGCAGGCCCACATTTTTTGGATGTTTGTTTTCATGCCATGGTGGTGGTTGTCCAACTGTCATGATTGGATCTCCCGAGGTTGTTTTTTTCCTCAGTTGACGGTGTTGACTTTCGCGAGTAACTGGAGAATGAAAACAGGAAACGTGCAAATGTTAATGTTGAAATTTGCACCGCCCTGCCATGGGAGGAAAAAATGCGGATACATTACATTGTTCAAAAACATGCAATATTCAATGATTTGAAAAAACGACAGAGGGTTGGGATGGCCGCTGCGGTGCAATCATTCAAATGTACGCAAACGGCAATGAAAAAAATAACCGTCAAAGATGGAACATTATCCATTAACTAGCTCGTGGTTACGGGCGGGCAGTAGACGGAACATTCGCCATCGACTGGCCATTGATGGAGAAATTTTCCATGGACGACTGGCCATTGGAATAACTATTTTTCCATGGATGGATGGGTGCTAGATTGTTGAACATTTTCCCACCTTCCAAATTTTAAATAACTTTAGGTAACGTGCGAAGGCTCATACCTTATCCATCGCCAGTCGGTAGAAACATTTTCCAACCGTCCATGGGAAATTTTTTACCACCTGTCCATTCGACAGGCTCGTCGATGGAGAACTCTCCATCCACCACTTGAGAGGAGGGAGACACGAAAGGTAGGACAGCGGGAAGAGAAGAGAACGCGAGAGGCAGGAACAAAAATGCAATGTTCGACATGGTGATTTATATATCTCCTCGGAGGCGACCTTTCGTAAATCGTAAATATATGTTCATACGCACTCTAACTGTTCAAAGATATGCTTTTGGAAATGTTCAAAAAGAGTCTTAGGAAAACAAACTTGCCCCATGGATCAGATCATCGGTGAGCATTGAATCGTCTGTATTGAAAAATCAATTCCAAGGGGGCGCGGGGGGGGGGGGTTTGAATTGAGTGATCAATTATTAGACCCGGACGTCCCAACACTTGCTTCGCAAGACAACCTCAAGGTATCCCCTAAAGGGCTACCTTTCGTGACTTGGGCTGGTGTAATATCCCCGCGCTCAACGGTTTAGTATTGGCATGCACCTTAACACGACTAATGCATTTCCACCCAAAAATAAAACAACGATAACATTGATTATACCTGCGCGCTCAGAACAAAAACTACTAGGGGTTCCTGACCTTACCACTAGCAACAAGAAACTACTAGGGACACCTGGCCTTACTACTAAGAACAAGAACAAGAAGCTGCTAGGGACTCCTTGCCTTCCTCCAAAGCAACGCGCAGCTACTAGGGGCTCCCGGCATCGCTACCAGGAACAAGAAGTTCTTCGGGGTTCCTGGCCTTTTTACTAGGAACTGAATGGGCTGTTTGGTCCATATGCTGCAGCTGATTACATGAACCACGAAAATGGCAACCTGCAGAAGTGTCCGGAACGATAACAAAACGATAACGAAAACAATAAGGAAATGTAGCAAAAAAAAACGTCCGAAATCACAAACCATTTCAAATTTTCTACATAAATGTTTCAATCAAATATTATTAGGTCAACAAATTATCATTCTGATTCTGAGTGGGCAAGTACCCATTTGACTGTTTTCATTAGACCTATTGAAGGGCAGACATTTAAACAAGATCGTGGTAGTCCTGCTTAGCTGTCCAAACCTGATTTTTGTTGCTGCCATTTGTTTACCACCAAAGACGTTGTACGCCTTGGTACAGGCAGTGCTACGGGATCCTGAAGTAGGACCATGTAGACCACCAAATGAATTTTTGTTGATTTGTGATCTTCCATCAAAGCGATCAAAGATGCTTTCGCCTGAGAAAACGATAAGAGTAAAAAACGATAACATGGCTTCGAGGTACATATTGCAAAAGACACGGGGTATTTACACCACCCTACTTGTTCATGGAGAAATCCCCCATCAACACCCAGTCCATGCAGACTTCTCTCTCCATCTACCACCAGTGCGTGGCAAAAAATTATCAACCGCTAGTCCGCTAGTCGATGGAACATATTTTTCATCAGCTGCCAGCCGGTGGAGAACGCCCCATCCAACGCCAGTCGATGGAGATTTCTCCATCTGGCACCGGCCGGGGGGTTCTCCACTTCTGATTATGGAACTTGGAAGCACCCACAGCTCATGGAAGTGTTTTCATTCGAGACCAGGATTGAATCATATACATATATATATATATATTACCCTTTAAGGTCACCACCAAAACCCGGTGAGAACAAATGATACAGCACTTTCATTTGCAAGTGAACTTGACGAACCTCCACAAACCTTCCGCAAACTTATAAAAATTAGAGCCTCCATGAGCCTCCTGAACCATGGATTCGTGAAGATTAATAGTTGACGGGTCGAATGTCTCAGAAAAACATTTTTGTTTCTAGAGTTGCTGGGGCTCATAGCCTGCGAGACTCAGTCACGCTTCAACAAGACTCTTAGGTTACGGACAGTGATGCCGGGCTCTTCACATCGTCCTCCAAATCGGAGCTGATGCTGGAAGACTCTTGACACGCAAAATTGTCCCTGTTGGACACTTGCCCCAAGCAGAAACCGTTTGGTCGCGGTGGATGTGTCTCTCGTTTGTTCTATACCGCCGGACTGGAAGATTGAATGCTTACCAGGGGGTGAAGATTCTAGGGTTTCGCTACCACTTAGAATGCCTCCCAGCACATTGAGCCTCAATAATTGAGGTGTACCTAAGACGTGTCGAAAAGAAAATATTGAGGCGTACCTGGGCTTATATATAATTGATGTATTTGCCTATTTACTTCAAACCCAGCAGGATGGAATTTATATCCAAAGCGAAAGCAGTAGTGAAAGCAGGGAAAAAAGGCACCGATTGAATTCATCTCCCATTGAAGATCTATAGTGCTTACATGATTCAAGCACTGTATAATATATAGCTCATTTGATGCACAACACTGTAGCCGGACTGACAGTTGGAATGCCGTGGCAAATCTTTAGTATTTGTGGGGCATTGGAGGCATTCTAAGTGTAGGAAAATGAAACGGACATTCGAAGCCACAATCGTAGAGCCGGTACCACATTCTAACTTTCAGTCCGGCAGTACAGTTGATACTACCTCTTTCCCTGTCGTCGGTCGCCCGGTGTGAGGTGCCTCCCAAGGCTGGGCGCCCGCGTGTGTTGGTCCTGGGCACCGGCTGGGCTTCGGCCTCCTTCCTGCAAGCCCTCACCCCAGAGCAGGCGAGATTCTCAGAGCGAACGGTGTGTTCGGGACATCGCGCGGGGAGCGCATGCCCCCGTGCCTTCCATGGACCCCCTGCCCCCCAATTTTGATGGAAGCCCCCAGGGGGGTCCAATCCACGTTGACCAGGACTTCCATGGACCCATTGCGACCCCCTGAAGGAAAGGGCCAGCCCCAGGCGCCAAACCTGAAGACCTGCTGTTGCGATTGGGTTATGAAAAGGCCCATGTTCTTCAAGAGGTGGTTGAACTGGATACTGAACTGAACAGGTGGTGTTTTGCTACTTGTGAATGGTTGCAACCACCACCAAAATGTTGGCAGATGCTTAGGCCCACCAACGTTGGCAAACAAATTTGTTTTATTTGAGGCTGACCATGTTTCCCGGCCACCTTGTGGTGATTGCTGCACATGCCGGCGTGATGACATGCAGGGCTTTCCAATTTTCATGTCACCATGTCCCATTTCCTGCCTCCTGAAAAGGTGTCCCGGGTGGGCCTAAGTATTTTTTGAGGAGGTATGGGGTCCCAAGGGTAGCGATTGGAAATCTACAAAGCTCTCACTCATGTTCTCGGCGCATAGGACCCCCTTACCTTGCACGTTTCATGTTTGGTAAACACGTGGCTGCTGGTGAGAAATCAATTCCCAAGGCACATAATCCGCAATATTCTAGAAATGAGGTTGCTTTGTAGAAACAACACCCTACTAGTTATTGATCTTGAGCCAGAAATTTAGCATCCACCACGCCCTTTTACAACCTCGGTTTTACCCTCATTCCCGCATTCCTTACTCAAGTGCGCCCAGTGACCAACGCAAAAGACTCCAACCAAAATGCCCACCCGGAGACAGCCAACTGCTGAGATCCTTGACAGGCCCAGCTGTACGACATCACGGTGATCTCCATGCGAAATTTCTTCCTTTACACCCCTTTGTTGCCCACATGCACGATGGGTTCAATTGAGGAAGCCTGGTGTAAGAAGTCTTTGTTGGTCCATGAACTGGTGACTAATTATGCGCTTCCAGGGTTCTGGAAGTGCCCAGAGGCGAAGATGTATCAAGGCTGAACACGCGGCTTTGACCATATCCCCTCATTTCATAGAACCTTCCAAATTTACAGTAAGCAGGATCGGGGAAGCAGTTGATTACCACGGTGCATTCAGTCAAGGTCAGTCAGGGTCAGTCAACACATGTCAACGCGTTGATTGATCGTCGACCACAAATTTGTGTTGGATTCTCATCTATCTCAGGGCTCGCTTAAGCCTAGAGGGAGGCGGTTGCCGTAGGCATCATGGCCACCAGTGGCGGGGTCCGTGGCTTAGAATGCTTCATGGTACAAGGCTCACGGACCACCGGTCAAGGCTCAGGCACCACCAATCATATCTGATCATAGACACAGCATAGGATGTGCTGGTAGGACGAACTGAATGGCAGCAAGCGAGGTTCTGTGTAGGAAGGCTTTGTTGCTGAAAGCGCCTTCGAAGGTCAAAATATATCAAAGATGGAACATGAAGCGGCCAGAGAGGAATGAAGAGGATGAGTTGTAACTTTGGGTGTTTTCATTGTGGGCCGCGGGCAGAAACTAACACCAATAAGTTTCACGTAATTTAATTTTCACCAAAGAGAAGCATTTCTCTTTGGATGTCACCATGCACTTTTTCTACCCAGCCACCATTAAGTTCCCGCTTTCATCAGCGATACCCATTCCGGGCCTTCGATGAGGAGAGGTCCATTGTGACGCCCATCCGTGAGATGGCAGCTGGAAAGGCGGATTTCTTGGAAGCGCGATGTGAAGGCCTTGACCTCCGCTGGTCTTGAGTTCGCAAAACGCACGGCAAACATGTTTCGGGGATATATAGTATGGGTAGTGGAGGGAACTGCTCCTTCACAACTTCCAGGAACCTGCATTCCACCGACCTACCCAATGTGTTCTCCTGAGCCAGCCATCGTTCGAGCTTTCACTGTAGCCAGGTGGAAGCTGCTTTTGGAAGTTGGTTTGACTTTTGATTGGGTGCAAGCGGAGGTGGCTTTTTTTCTCAAAGAGCCGGACCAAGGGCTCGAGGAAAACTTTTGATTTGAGAGACTTGCCCTAAGGATCCAGTCGTACCGAACCTGAGGTTCGGTACGGCTGGACCCGATGCAGGCACCTACAATAACAGCGTCTCCTTCCACAATAACAGTGTCTTCCGCACCAAGCCTGAGGTTCGGTACGGCTGGATCCCTAAATATAGGGTGGGTGTGGTCACATTGCGGGACGGGCTCCACAGGCCGCACCGTTCGTCACTCGCCAAACTGGGTGGGTCATAGGTCTGCATGGTCTATACCGTGTCGCCGAAAACGGGGTCAGTGAGGTGACGGAGTTTTGGCTTCAAGTCATTCCGTCCGATGCAGAACCCGGAGGCAAATGTTAACGACTCGTGAAAGTGGAAGAGGTTCAGTTGGTTTTTGTTTTTAAAGTGTCGCCCCTTTCCCTGTTTTCTCTTGGGGTCGCCTAAAGTAGCGGGATCAGCGTGGCGGTGTTGCCTCGCAGTGCGGAGAAGGCATTGATGTGGAGAAGAAAGTGGTGCGCTGCAGCCGGGCCCGTCGCTCCAAAGTCAGTTCCAATGCGCAGTACCACCGGTTTCCAGACAAGGAGGCGACCAGTGGGCCGGTGTGGGAGAGGGGCGGCGAGTAGGCATCAGAGAGATTGGTGGTGTTGTCAGAGGGATGAGGTTTGATGTTTGCCGAGCAGCAGCTCATTTCCAAATATGTGTAGTGGATCCGGCTACAAAATCTGCAGTGTATAAGACTAAAATAGTTTATGCTACATTTATTTGTACATGTAGCCAGTACTGGTTCCAAAGATTAATCAAAACCAGTCTTTTGGAGGGCTCATGAGGCAATGGGTTCTTGAACGATTTGGAAGGCTATTCTCATTTGGAAGGCTATTTTCCACATAAAAGCACATGAGAAACAAGAATTCAACCGGAAAATAATGTGAATCTTGTTTCCAGATTTGGAAGGAGGGGCCTGTCTCTAGTTCCAACGGGTCTCCCCGTGCTTCGCTGCCGCCTTGGGCGCCGACCACTGTGCCGAGCATGGCCAAGACCAGGAGGGCGAGAAGTACACCTTCGAGATGCCCTATGACATCCTTATTTACGGCGTTGGGGCCAAGACCAACGACTTCAATGTGCCCGGTGTCAAGCAGCATTCCTTCTACTTCAAGGACCTGCGATTCTGGGTGTCTCGGTTTGTCGATGTTTGTCGGTTTGGAGGGCATGAAGGACTTTCGACTGGAACTCCAGCTCCACTCACGAATAGCTCGGAGCCCTGAGTTCGTCCGCGGTGGGTTCCTATGCACGTAACACGAGTGGCGGTGCTTCACAGCGACGTGTTTCTTTTAAAGTTCACTCTCTTCTTTTTGTGTGGCATGTGTCCTTCTCCTGACATTGACCCAGCATGAAACATGCCAAACAAGATGACATGAGATGATGGCTAAACAGAGCCAGAGAGCGACTGACTGTGCACTCCCACGCCTCTCAACAAGGCGCGTTGGCATGCTGTTTTGGGCCCTGTTTGTTCTTCTCCATCAGCCATTGCACAGTTTCCTCAAACGGTTAGGCGGGCTTGGAGCATGTTGCCCAGTTCCAGTGGTTTTGCACAACGATTCCCCACAAACCCTTTTCTGCCTTCCATCCTCCTTCCATCCCATTTTTCGGCCCCGGAGGCTTAGATCCGCGCGCATGCCCAAAACATCCCTCAGGAGCTCATCGACGCCCGCAACGTGCGAAGTCGCATCTCCGACCTTTTCGAAGAGGCGGCGCTGCCCACCATGTCCCCAGAGGCGTGGGGCCCTTGCCCTTGTCTTCGCGCCGCCTCGCGCGGGATCGTGGCATCCCGCGGCGGAAAAGGAGCCATTGTTGAAACCAATTGCTGCTTTGTCATCTTTGTTGTTTTTTTGTGGGGGAGATAGGGTGAAGATGGGGGAGGCAGGGAGGTTGAAGAATTGGTAGTGAGGTGAAGGGGACAACCAGTTCGCATGGGTAGTAGTAGGTCAGTCACAGGACCCTGGGTCTGGGGCTTCTTAATAGACTCCTTCAGGGGTAACGATCATTGAAGTGAAAGAGAGGTTTCACCCAACGTCCAGACCTCTAGGCCCCATTTTTTTGCATCTCATGCCCAGACACCATGATGACTGGAAGATTTGCCTACTTGGATGCCTGAATCCAGCTTTGAGTGGAATATTATGCCATGCAAAAGGCCATACCAAGGCTCCCTAAGGAGTGGTTCATGCCCCTTACGAGGCCCTCGTACATGCGTGCTTTGTGGGTGATTGATCGACCCAGCTTGGCCAGGATCGCGATGCGCTCCTGAACTTCATCATCGTTGGAGGCGGAACCGGCGCTCCGAGGACACCGTCACCGTTGGGGAGGAAGCTCATGTAGCGTAGAGTGGCAGGTGTACGAGATGACTCGCAACTAGCCCTCAGATTCTCTTGGTTACTGTAGGCTGCAAGGTGAATGGGGCAAGACTGATTTTGTTAGGGAGGGTTTGATTTGGGCCTAGTGCCTAGTGATATGATTCCGATTGATTCCGGAGGTGTGGAGATGTCCTCAGGCTGGTCGAACGTGGATGGCGGTGCCCCTGTCTCCATCTTAGGCCTTGCTTCACCTCGTTCCTCAGGCGGTCCAACTGGTGTTGAGATCGCGGCGGACTTGGCGGACTTCGTAGATGAAGACTGCAAACGGCTTTACCCCAAGCTGCAGGATCAGGCAAAATTTGTCCTTGAGCGATTCTTGTCAATTGTCCTTTGTCACACGTAGTTTTTGCAAGGGCTTGATGGATCTCACTTGGGAAGTGGATTCTATAGCAGCTTTGTGTCATATCATATACGGTCCTATTACATCATATTATCATACAAGATCATTTAAGCATGGACTTCCTGAATGATCGTTGTTGTTGACATGTTGGCGTGCAGAACATTTAATTGACTGGGATGAAGTTCTCCCTCCTTTAAGTTGAACAAACCTGTTGTTTGCGACTTTGCGCCGGATAAGGTTAAGTAGACGAGGAAGCTTGATAAAGGTGCAGGTTGTGTTGGAATTTGATCCAATCAACAAAGTACTTCAGAAAATGGGTACAAGTGCCTGTTTTTTAATAGGGTCATGTCAGAGTCATGTCCCATTTTCTAAGGTACATTGGAGGGTCCAGCTTGTTCTTGTCATGTCTCGTGGATTCTCGTGGCTTTCAAAGCGCTTTGACGGTTTTTTGCACTTCGACATCTGGGCGGAAGCTTCCTGCGCGGATCTCGTGCCCGGTCCGCGAGCGCAGGTGACGATCAACTTGGTGAACATGGAAGACCACTTGCAGCTGGTCCTATCTGTCCAAAGAGTGTGGAAGTTGAGGGGCTCGTGAGTGGGTGGGAGAACAAGGATAGGTGGGTGAGACTGGAACGTGAGTAGCGAGGCGATGGCGTGGCGAGCAGTGAGCTCATACTAGTACCACTGGGTTGAGTGCAAACGGCCCACTACATCAACAAGCATCACGGCAATTTTGCTAGGGACCTTTTGCTAAACGTTCACTGCCGACCATTCTTTTACTGGCGGGGGCAGCCTAGGTTGCCTTTGAGATGCATATAGTGATGCATAATATATATATATATTTATATATTTATATATACACATTGTTTTTTGCACACCTACCAGGGCATTACTGCAATTTGTGGCCCATCAGCTTTACCAATGCAGCCATTGCATCCGTGTTGATCTCGCCTGTGGACCCCTACGGAGCACATGGGGAAGGAGGCGCCTGTGGTGCTTTTCGCCAAAGGGGAATTGAAGAGCTGCAGTATATACTGGGACTTGGTGAGTTGTTGATTTGAACTTGCCAAGCCATGACCGGGACACATGACGTGACACATGGAGTTCCCAAAATAGTCATCTTCCCTATGCCAGACTCCATGGGACTGGCATATCGACCTGTTACATTGGTGTGGTTGAAATCATTGGGGATTAGAGGCCATCGATTCCAGTCCGGCATCGCAGTTCCTTGGGGCATGTGGTGTTTCGATGTGTTTCGCCCAAAACGTTTTGCCGAAAAAACGTGTCCAGACCAGACCTCATCTGCTGAGGCTCTCAACCTACAGCCGGGATATCTCCGAAAAGAGCTTCTGGGATTGGAAGGGGATCGGCGGGATCGGCACCTGGGTCCAGAGTGGGTCATGCCGCTTCTGACCATCCGGACACGGTATGACTCGTGGGGCCGTTCGTTATACTTATAGGCTCACCTCCTGGCTGAAGGAATGACATTTGTGATGGACAGAGCCCAGGCAGATCAAGAAACATCCGTCTCACGCTTCATTTACCTCAGCAGATCTCAACAGGGGAATCATGTAGGAACTGAGCCCGCCCAGATAGTCATTCCAGTTGCCCCCTCCAGTCCACCGGTCACGGTCGACTTCCAGCGGTGGGGCCGGAACGCAGATGGACGGCACTTTCCGGCACCAGGCTTGGAGGTGTTCAAAGCCAAAGGTGTCAAGGCGAGAACTGAGAACTTCCAACAGCAGATTGTGTTTGTTCTTCCAGATGGGTGTGAACCTTGCGAGGTATAAGGAGCTCATGGTGCTTGGAAGTCATGAAACTATATTTGTGCAGGTTGAACTCTCCTTCTTGGGATGGTCCACATGTGCCTGAATGATCCTGAATGATGATTTTTGATCACGAAAGGTAGCCCTTTAGGGGATACCTTGAGTTTGTCTTGCGAAGCAAGTGTTGGGACGTCCGGGTCTAATAATTGATCGCTCAATTCAGACCCCCCCCCCCTC